CGGTGTATTTTTCCACCATCATCAGTTTTTCTAAAATAACAGATAGTTAAAAAAAATTGTCATTAATTTAAAAAACAACCACAGTTCGTCAACAGCCTCGTCATATAACACATTAAAATACATCGCAATTGCAATACTTTAAAACATTCTAAAATTAATTAGGCCTAACAGGTGATTAGTTAGTTAGATTAGATAGATAGTTAGAAGAAATCAATATAAACAGTATTTTATTCGTTTTGCGTCCGATAATGAACAAAATTAATTCTCCAAATGCATGACAAGGCTTAAAGCAGCAACAACGCTACATATGTAAGTAAAAATATTTAAGTATCTGAACAAAGAATTCTAGTCTCTTCCCAAATTTGATTGTCCTGACCAATCACCTGTTAGGCCTAATTAATTTTAGAATGTTTTAAAGTATTACAATTGTGTTGTATTTTAATGTGTGATATGATGAGGCTGTTGACGAACTGTGGTTGTTTTTTAAATTAATGACAAATTAACAAAACAAACTATCTGTTATTTTGGAAAAACTGATGATGGTGGAAAAATACACCAAAACGAATTTTGATTGATAAATAGAAGCAATAAATTACTGAATTTGATTTGGGCCAGAAATAAATTTGATTTGGAAATAAATGCACTTACATGTCTTAAAATGGGAATGGAAAATTTTGAAAAATTTGCGGAAACAATATTTTATTTGTTTTGTAGTAAATTATTGAAAAATATCTATTAGGTATAATATTTTCCCTCCGTATGAAATAGCATAGGTACTCGAACTATAAAATAAACATTCGACATTTTTACATCCATACACCTGCTAAACATCGAATTATTTGGACTACAGTTTTATAAGTTAATTTTCGTTTTTCATCCAGAAGGTCTTCTCGAAAGTTTCCTCGGAGTTTGTACAGCGGTCTAAACGAATTAATAGAATCGTAATAAAATATATGATTTTTCTCCGTCTAGGCGATCAAATGGAACATTTAGTGAAGTTTTTTTTGTTTGACGTTTGACATTTTCACGTTTGACAATGGCACGCAAGAACCAATGTTCAAAAGCAATGTGGGAATGTGGGCTGTGAGGATTGTTAGTAGAATATAGCCGACAGCTTCCAGGGAGGTAGTAGAGTATAACTTTAGATGTTTTAAATTGGACATAGACATTACTACAAATGAAAACAAGCGCACAATGTTTCTAAAAGGGAAAATCTTCCACTTAAAATGTTAAAAAACGTACTGTGCTATGATCATAAATAGACCTACATAAAAATAAAGCGGTGTTGACATGCTTTTATAATGCGCACTGACCGTATAATATTACTTCCTGAAATGGTTAATAATTACAAAGCTGTTGTGATACTTGCGCAATTTATCTAAGATTTAATGAGCGACTGCACGTGGTTCGTGCTTGAAGCAAAGTTTACTATCTTCATGTCAGGAGGACTTCTTTAAGAAAGGCTTCTAACCGAGAAGGTTGCGTAAATGACTTTTTAAACAGACTGAAATATATGGACAATTTCTCATTTTTGCCACAGAAAACGTGACAAAATATATACAATAATGATCAAAGAGACTAGTTTCTCCCTGGGCCTCGATCTTATCTATAATAGCTACTGGTTATTGTGTTTATTTATATGCGCCTTGCTTTAGCTCATGCATGTCACTATTTTGTTTACGGTATGTCCAAACGGTAATTTTTTTTATTATTAGATAGTACGATATTAATTATATGTAATATGCGTGCACTCCGCAAATGCTCTTGGGACTCTCTTTAGGATCTTTTCATCGATCATGATGCATAAAATCGGAGCTTCTAAATGGTCGATGAGTGGCTTAAATATAAATGTAAACTTTTTATCGGCCGTTAAGGATTGACGAGACGTCCACCATTTGACATAGTACCCGATAATAAAACGGCCGTAAAGACTAATTTTATGTTTTGTAGATTATACTTTTAAATCTGGAATCAATTCCATATTTGCTTATTTACACAAGAAGGAAATACATCAATGCAATGTGGTTTTATTGGGACACCACTTTTTAATTTTGAAAATATATTCACTTTCTCTCAGTGGTAGCTGCTGCACTTGGAGGGTTTACTGTGAAGCCCAAAAGCGCATTGTTTGTATGAAACGTTAACTTTGGTTGAAAAACTTCATTTATCTACTTAAAAAATAACGTTCCACTGAAAGTACAGCTGAAATTAATCAGTTTTTTAACACACGTCCATAAATATTAAAGCACTAAGTGACATTATAGTGAAATTAAAGCAGGAAACTGGTAGTTATTACCAACAAATTGGGTTTTAATCCGTAGAGTATCGAATAATTCTCGGAAAAGGTGGAATTTGTAATCAGTTGATATTAAAATCTCATCCCCATGTTCCTTTCACACTTTCACCCAAAACCGCGACTTTAATATAAGAAACAACGCGGTACAACAACCAAGTAAGTACCTACATAACTTGGTTTTTACAAACATGGAGCAATCAGAGGCACAACATAATTTGAAATACTGTGAAATATTTTTAATTTATAATTCCTTTATTTTCATTACGCTTTATTAAAGCCCAATAATTTTTTCTTACTTCGAGTCAAATTCAGGATTGTTTTCATTATTTGTTTATACTTTTGCTTAACCGTTAGGACCACATATCGCTCATGTTAAAATATTGATACTTTGCTTGATTACAAGGTAAGTATTGAACCTAATTATTATTTTACAGAAATATATTCGAGAATAATTCATTGTGCCATCCAGACATCGTTAAATCGGCTAGCTAAAAACGATATACACTGGTATTTATTTTACCACAACAGTAAGTACTTACATGTTTTTCCAAGACAATTCAATACTTTATTAGACATTTCCTTTAGTTGATATTCATTCTTAGGCACCTGCCTGGACTGAGAAATGACCTTCCCCCACTTCATTAATATTCTCATTCAGTTCTTCATAGCACATAAACGCATTTATGGCGGCTGCTTGAAACAATAACTAACTTTTTAAATTTTCACTCTCAGTCAGATTAGCGACTTTACTTACAACGTACTAAAATGAATTTATTGTTCTTTTAGGAGCATGTTGATGTTTCATGGTTTTTAAGATAAGGAAACGAATGTTCATTGTTCGTTTGCCTCTTAGGCCTTTAAACAAGTTTGAAATATCTGTTCTTGTAACAGTAATAAATCCGCAACTATGCAAGTCTAATTTTTTTGTGAACTTGATCATATTACGTAAAAATTATTTTAAGTTTCATATTAAAGTGCAGAAGTGAACAGACACCAAAAAGCCATTTCAGGACGAAATTGGCTCTTCCAATCTTTGGATTTTAAATTAAATTTTAAAATACAAGTGTCGTTCGGGTGATATTCGCGAAACTCGTGAAGTTCTCTGATCCTAAAACATTGTGCGGATTTTAAATTTAAGCTGAATTTAATGCTCTGTCGGCGTCCTCGAGAAGCGAATCCAATAAGAACTTTTTCACACAAAAAGACTGAAAATCGTGTCTCGAATCCAAACGCTTCTAATCCTATTTGGTTCATTAGCCCCACAGTTTTGAAGTCTAGTGTGGCTCTCAGAGATAAAACTGTTAGTTTATCATCATCCTCTTTAACGATACTCAATTAAGGGACATCGGATTTTTATGGCGGCAAGTGTTTAAGATTAAAACCATATTTTAGTCCATAATGTTGGCAGACAATTAACGTTCAGAATAATGAGCCAGGATTGTGGTTACCACTACTTTTAAATTAACAACTCGCAATTCGATGGGCAGGAATCTGAAATTATATGAGACATAATGGTATATTCTTGCTTCAAAAATATTTTTTTAAGTGGGTTATAATTCCTTTTTTATTTTATTTATTCTGCATTTATACTAACATGTTTTTCTTTCATTGATTTAGGAAATTTTTAGGATTGCCCTACATAGGTACAGTTACGGTGTTAAAATCTAAATTTTGTTGCAAAATTTGTCTCCTGGATTCGATTGCTCCAAAAATTAAACACCAGAACTTTAAGGCGGGGACATGACAAGGGCGGATCCATGGGGGGGTTAT